ACGGCATCAGGTTCAGTGGCAGGTTTAGAAATCTGGACTTTAACAAAGAGGGGTTTGGCTCATTTTGACAAAAATAAATAAAATTAAATAAAATAAAGCTGGATATATAAAATTGGATAAGATAAGTGCAGACACCATGTGTAAATGTGAGCAAAGTCAGTTGAGTATCTCTGAAGTATATACAATAACAATAATATGACAGGGACCATTTTGCTGCTTACAGAGTACTTTTGCTTTATAGTTCACTTTTTGTTGCTAATATTTTTGTATTTGCAGTAAACGTTTGAAAGCAGGACTTTTTCTTTAAACAGAGTATTTTTACAGTAAAGTATCGCCTCTTTTAGATAGGTTTAAGATCGAAGTACTTCTTCAACACTGTTCTTTGTTTGACTCGACTTCCACAGTCACCTTTGCAATAAGCTCAGCTCAGTACAGATAGATTTAACAATGAATAAAAACTATCTAATGTCACTTTTTACTTTGAATCCAGAGAGAAATAACAGAAATGTCGCCCTCCTGTGTTTATACAGGGAACAGCCGGGCCTCTGTGGGTTTGGCCTACCAGCTGTTCTGTCCCAGCAGGGCCTCAAATACAGCTCTGGTCTCCAAGTTTGACTGTTCGGAGAATATGGCTTCAATAATGCTGAGGCCACAGATCGGTATCTTCTGTTTACTCCTGTGTCTCATTACTGCTTTGCTGCTTGTATAACTTTTTATTTTCTGTTTATGGTGTCCTGTTGCCCCGAGAGCTGTATTTTAACTGCCAGAAATAAATAGGAACCAATTTCAATGTAGTTGTGTGACGAATAAAGTCTCGTCCAAACCTGTAATGTGAGCTATATTTGACCCGGACCACAAGGTGCATGTGAGAAAGAAAGAAGTGCTTTCGGTCATCCTTAGAAAATCTTATCAAGGGCTCTCTTAGATTTTTTGGTCAGTGTGAGACGAACTAGGGCCAAGGATCATGACGGATTTGGCTATATGAAGGCTATACAGGCCGGATGTATGGGTCTGTCTGCACACTCCCTCACAAGGTCAAAGGCACGGACATAGTTTATGTTATGTCTGTCTGTGTGCGTGTGTGTGTGAGCGGGGGTCGAGAGACTTCCCTCCCAAGGACAGTGGGACCCAGTGTGAGACAGAGCAAGGCGCTCTACCGTGGGATAAGTACAGGTTGGATATAGCAAGGGGTAGTTAAGTGGAAAAGACTAACAGATGCTGGGGCTAGTTTACTCTGGGGGGAGGGAGCCTCACCACAGCTTGAGCACTAGCACCCTGACACACACACATACATACACACACACACAGTGAGGCTGCATTCTCACTGTGGCTTAGAAAAAACAATTTTACTGCGATGGCTGGAGAACAGTTTGTATCTCTTTAAGCTTTTTTAACAGCAGGAGTCATCCGGACAAAATGCTCTTCAGTGAAGACAGACACATCAGTTTCAGGACATTAAAGGATCAGTTCACCAAAATGATTTAAAAAAACACCATGCACATCCAAAAACAATAAATACTGGTTGCTGGACAGAGGAACAAATACAAAAATACAAAAACAGGTCCGCACCAGTGTCCGGTGAAGGGCTGGTGCCCGAAATGTCACATGTGGTGATGTGATTTAAATTTCCAAAAGGAGCACTTCCTGGTGTGCAGACCTGTTTTTGTATTTTTGTATCAGTTTACCAAAATAAAAATTAAAAGAAAGAAATAACAAATATAATACACTTGTAGGAGGATCTATACATGAAGGTAGTTTGGGTTTAATTTAGACAGTTTTTTTACATATCCATCTATGTGATTTCAGCCCCAAACCCAATATAATGTGGTAAACTGAATTGTGGTGCAAACAGCACTGCATAATGGCACTTAAAAATATCACCTGTAATGATAGGGATTCTCCGTGGCAACAGATGCAGTTGTAGTATTAAAAGCTGTCGACTAAGACAAAATAAGGGATAAAACATGAAGTGGGAGGACGAAGTATTTGGATCTTTTACCTGAGTAAAAGTATCAATACTACAGTGCAGAAAATACTCTAAAAGCAAAAGTATAAAAGCATTAACATCAATCATACTTTAAGTACCAAAAGTGAAAGTACCCACTATGAAAATAACCCTTGCTCCGTTGAAACCACCCACTCCACCAGGTTGTCTGATTCAGGATTGATTGACAGTGACAGAATACAAACTTAATCAAAGGGAAGCTTTTTGGATCCATCTACTGGATGCTTTAACGTATCCTGGTCTCAATGAGGACATAGATTTCACAGTTTTTTGTGATTTGTCATTATTCTCTACAAGCTTCACCATTTTTCTCAGAGCCTATGTTAAGATAGGTGTGTATATATTTAAATTGTTTTTTTCTGGCTATCTTATCTCATGTCACTATGTTTTTTATTAACTTGTTCTTTTTGTCATTATTGTTTATTTGTTTCACCTGCCATGCCATTATATGGGTCGTGTGATGGCCTCTGATTGGTTCCTGCCACTATATAGGTGTGGCCATACCTGCGTTGTATGTTTTGAAAGCCCTGATGAAGACCTACAGTGGTTGAAACATGATGGCTCTTTTAATGATTTAGCTACTACAAAAAAGGCTTTTTAAGATTTCCCTCCTCGATTTTCTGTATTTTTTCGGAGTGCCTGGATTGCCGTCCTGTCAATTCTGTTGTTCCCGACACAAGATTTTGATCCACATTTAAATATACAAAGCAACCAGTCGTCTCTCTTTTCTGGGTTGTCTGATTCATCTGACATCATGACATAAAACAATGGTTTCTTGATTGAAAAAGCAATCGATCCAATGATCGTCATGGAGAGACTAACGCTTAGCCAATCAACGCCACAAGCAGCCTCAAACAGTTATCAAGCGTTGTCAAGCTGTTTGCCAGAATAAACGAGGAGCAATAACAACAATGGAGACCAATGGAGACCGATGTAGATAAGACAGATGCTGCTATAGACAACATGTCTTTTTAATATCACCCAACTTTGTAGTTTGTTTTTATTTCACTCTGCTCCACTTTTAAAACCCCGCCAAAACCAGTATGCTGCCATGGCTACACATTGGTATTGATTAAGATTCAGGCAGAAACATCGGTCTCTAGTGACTGGGTTAGAGAAAAGTGAATCCCCCTCCCCCACGGAAATTGATTGGAGTTTGAAACAAGTTGATAATTCTGTCTGATATCAGGCAAGCACGGCCCATTTCTGAATATTACTGAGTAATAAATATTGATGTTTTCATGTGTTCATCACTTTAATGTTGCAGCTGGTAAAGGTGGGGCTAATTTGTCTCTATATACACTGCTCAGTGGCTTAACCTTTAATAGTATGTAATAACATAGTTTATTTATTCTGTATCAGTAATCGAAATTTGCAAAGTAACTAGTAACTGAAGCTTTAAAATAAATATAGTGATGAAAAAGTGGAATATTTGCCTCTAACATGGAGGAATAGAAGTATAAAGTACCATGAAATGGAAATACGCAAGTAAAGTATGTCAAATTGTACTTAAGTACAGCACTTGAGTACTCAGCTACATTCCACCGCAGCCTATATGACGGTTACATAATCTGGGAGAGTCCTGCGTTTCTATGTTAGGAAACATTCAGGATATTGTTGAAAGAAAAAAAATGAAATGAGAATACAGAATGGAGGAGAAAAAAAAGTATGAAACCAGCGGTCCCTCCCACTTCACAACCTTATACAATGTTATTTTAAAAACACTTTGCCAGCCAATCAGAAACAAGCTGTAACCTCAGCAAACCGCTGGCTCTGTTAATACCATTCAGGACCGAATGTTGTTGTGACGGCCTCGTATTTGTCAGACTGGACTGCAACTGAGACTTTATTGTGGACCAAGTTTTCAAAACACACACACATGCACACACACACTCACTGTCACACACACAAATTCATAAATCCATATCTCACTTTCGGCAGGGTCATCGAGGCAACGACCCCCGTCACAATCACGATAAAATTCACAACATAAGCCAGGGAATAATTTCTGTGCTATCAGGCATGACCTCACCAGCCACAGACGTACTGTCCATACACACAACACACCCAGTCACTCTCTGTCTCACACACACACACACACACACACACACGCGCACACATACACAAACCACTGGCATACCAGAGAGCCTATATTTAAAATGAGCCCTGGGGATGTTTTTTATTTTCAGCATTTAGACATTCTATCAAAAGTGGTCAATGTGGATACTTGGGTGAAGAGAGAGACTGTGTGTATGTGTGTGTGTGTGTGTGTGTGTGTGTGTGTGTGTGTGTGTGTGTATCAGTGAGGCTGGTGGTAAAACATAGGTATGATATAATAATAGCATAGGAATAGTGATGAGTCAACAGCTTCTTTAGAATAAGATAATAAATGCACATTCAGAAAATAAGCATGAGAGTGTGAGATTACGGAATATTTGAGTCAGACCCAAATAGGTACAAATTTGCTAAGGCTGCAAAATACCACCTTCCAAACTTGTAGCCGTTCCAAATACAGCCCTATCATCCCACGTCTCATTTTCAAAGCCTCTCTTTTCTCCCTCTCTCCTCCCACCACAAATCCCAGAACCTCGAGCAGCAGAGAGAGAGGGAGAGAGACAGAGGAGATGAGGGGAGCATTTAAATCTAGCGTTCCGTGAGTGGTCGGGTCGGTGTCTGGAAATCTTTCACATCCTGTTTACGCCGGGCAGATTTCAGCCCGGGAACCGCAGAGAGCTGGCAGGGCCTCCGCCTGGACACAGCTCCTCTCTCTCTCTTTTCTATCTGCCTCCCTCGCCTAAAGATCTCAGTCTGCAAACCTTTCCACGCCGCCTCCTTCCTATCAACACCTTCAAACCTAAAGCAAACACGTCTAGCTCGCTCTGCTGCCCGCGGCCGCAGGAATATACGACCGAGGTGGAATCAAAATCCAGATAAAAAGAATCCTTTTCATGCGGACCAAATGTGGCCAAATCACACAACACCCCCTTTAATATCCAGGTATAGGTTTAATACAGCTATGTTGTCATATGTACAAACGGAAAGTTCCAGAGATCGAAGAAGTTTTCATGCCTGTAAAGAATGGGATATTTGAGTAAAAATATAACATCTGAAAAGTCTGCTAAAGGTGATCAAACAGCGAAGATTAATGAACAAAGGATCTGTCTGTCCTCTCATCTTTTTTCCTCCCCTGAGCGCAAACAGTTTGTAGTTTTGGTCCCGTAATCACTCTCCTCCCTCACCTCTTCCTCTGAACTCAGCGGCACTTGCAGGATTTGACGACCATATTGGAGAGTTGCTCGACACGTGGTGTGCGGCCTATGAAGTACATAATGGTGAGGGGCTCCAGGTCCTGAGGAACGCAGCAGGGCGAGGCGGAGGCCTCGGGGTTCAGCTTGTTGTAGAGGGGCAGGATCTGACCAGGGGAGAGAAATAAAGGAGAGTTAACCACAGTGTTAAACTAAGAAATCAGTTTCTTAATGGTGAGCTCCAACATCAGCACAATGTTTTGTCAAGAGCAGTTTTAGTTATTTCACCTGAGTCACTTTTTTATTTGTGTTTTTTTTCTCTACTCTTTTCCCTAGTGTGTCGTGTGCAGGGCTCAGTTGTGAAATCAAAATGTGATGACAGTTGTGGGGTTGTTCGCTTATGTTGCCAGACCACTGTTTCAGGAACAGCTCAACAATAGTTCCCTCTGTCTCCAGTCTTAATGCTAAGCTAAGCTAAGCTAAGCAGCTATGAGCAGTAGCTTCGTATTCACAGACATGAGAGTGGCATCAACTGACTCTAGGTAAGAAGTGTAAAAGCTTATTTCCTATGTCATAAGTAAGACATATGATTTTTTTGTTTATGTGGACATGAATATTTAATGTTGACAAAAATAGCAAAAGGTTTTAAGGGGCTTTTAAAGAAGGCAGCACGTGTGCAATTTATAGGGAGGGGTTCAGAAGGGACATATCCCCTGCACCTTTTTGGAAGGCACTATTGGACACCTCCACTTTTTACTGTCCAAAAACTAATGCTATATTTAAAAGTGGCTACAGTATCTGGTATAGTAGAGCATGGAGTGTCTAGTTTAAGCACTGTAAGAGGACATACATCTTGAAATCTTGAGTTTCATAGTTTTTAATAAAAGTAAAATATTTTTTTGATGTATCCCCAAAAGTATAAAAGAGATAAAACAGTTTAATTATTGTGTACTTTGTTACATATTAAGATGAAAAATTACATTTTACTCCTTGCTTTACACATTTTGCTTTATTGCACCACTTTAATTGTTTTTATGCAGTTTCTTAATGTGACGGCTTGAACTGTGCCAACATACCATCTTATACTGGCTTAAGTAAAAGCAAATGTCTTTAAATAAACAGCGTCTGTGTTTGTCTTTGTTGTCAGCAGCAAAATGTCTCATTGCAGAAAACTTGAGTGTCACACAAATGTTAAAATACTTCAAATCCACTGTGTATTACAATGAAGGACATGAGGGAAGAAAAAAAATCAATCAGAAGGTTCTGGAACAGTCGGCGTGGCTTCAGGCCATGTGTTGCAAAAGCCTATATGTTCTGTAACTGGCTGCTGTGAAGTGACAGCCCATTTATGACGCTGGGGTTAACCAATCTTAGTGAACTGTGGTGTTTAGCCGCCACAAACAATGCACTTAAAGCTCATTTAAAGGCAAACGTCACCAGCATTTCAAAGTTTCTGTACGTTGAAGTCAGGCGGGAGGCTGATTTTTAGAGTCTGATCCAAACCAAAATGTTTTTTTACGAGAGAGACCGAAGAGTTGTTTCAGCTATTGAAGTTGCTTTTGTTTGAACTGGAGTGAAGTTTTATAACTGATCAACCACAGATGATTTCTATTTGGAGAGTCTGGCTGCGTCTGTCTGGCTGTCTGTCACTGTTTCCATTCAAATTATTAACCAAAAAGAAAGGTCAAGACTCTCAAGGTTGCTGTGAAATAGATTTTGGAAAACAGGAGCACATTTGACTCAGTTTGACTTTACCAGAGAGGGTCATCTGATTTATTGTTCTGGGGTTAGAACAGATAATTGTTGTGGTGGCGTGTTTCACAGTGGCCTTCAGAGCTTTGAAGGAGACTGTCCTCCTCAAAAATACAACCACATGGGTCCTTTGTACAAGCAGCCATTGCAACCCATATTTATTGTTAGTTGGCAACGTTAGCGGACATAATAATTATATCTGGAGCAAAGGACGAGGTCAGGTGACTTATTATTAGGAGCAAAGTCTGCATAGGTGATTGGGTCAAACAAACACAGGACTTTTCATCCAGGATACCAGTGTTTGTGAAACCAAAAGCCGACGTTGAGTTATGTTAAGAATGTGTCGTAGTATGTGGTAGTATTAGAACAGACATATTTATTTAAGTCAAACCATGATCTTTTTTTTTAAACCTATCCATGATGTTTTGGTGCAACTGTGACCTTATCACAAAGTTAACCACATGGTTACAACTGTGACTGTTAATGGTCATACGCAAGCTATTCTGTTGTCCACCAGTAGGTGTGCTAATTTTGGAAACACCCCTGTGGATTGTATTCAGCGGGTAGAAAAAAAGACCTATGTAGTCGTATGGATTGAAGGACTTATTGCTGAGAGCAGATGTAGGCAGTCACACAATGACCAGAATTATCAAGGTACTCATGTCTTGACTCAGTCATATGCAGGGCTGGGGTATTTCCTTAAATTGTCTGATATTACTGCCAATACACAACACCCGATTTTTTTGTAACAAGACCAAAACAGTACTGATAGCTTGTCATGTTTCAATTTGCCTAAATAAAATTTGGATTCACATCAAGAACTGTCTGATCAAAGAAAAATTAAAACTGGACAAAACACTTAATTCTGTTTTTTTGTGCTCCATAGTCTCCAGTCCTTGGTGCTGCAGACACATTTTGTATGTTACCAATAAAGAGATACCACAGCCAGCCCGGTCATATGTCCTCTTACAGAAATAACTCACCATGTTATAGTGGTTGTTGGCACTCCAGAGGTAAGGACAGCTGCCGGCACAGAAGTTGGCTTTGTAACCTTTGGGCTCGTGGATCCACTTCCAGTTGAGGTCCCTCCTGAAGTCGATGTAGAGCGAGCGCAGGCAGCAGCCCTGGTCCGAGCCGCTGAGACACAACATACACACAGAAATATTTCAACTCCCATCCTGCTTTTCATGGTCTGCGGCATGGGCCCAAACTTGGGTCATGGGAAAATGATAATGGGTCACCATTGAAGAAGCAGCCATCACAAGGTAATGACTATGCAAGGCTGCCAGAGTTTTCCCCTGCAGCGTGAGGTAGTCTAAATAAAACACTGCACGCCTGTTGGCTCACAGTCTAAACACAGGGTCAATATTGTTAGTTTTGCCACACAATAGTCTGCAAAGTTTTGGGTCAGGAGAAAAAAAATCCACCGTCCACCACAACTAGATTTCAGAATTATAAAACTACGTTTTAGTGCTGTCAGTCAGTCACACGTGACCACACACACACACGTGCAGCTGGTTGGTGGCCTACCGGGAGCAGGTTGTGGTGTCTGTGGCGGCCGCCCTCTTCTTGCGGTTCTTCTTGGCCGGGTTGTCCACTCTGTCACTGGGCAGCACGGTGAGGATGAGGTGGGGCGTCTTGGTGGTGAAATCTGCCTGGCCTTTAACCTGACCGGGCTTTCTTATCTGACGAAGCTGCTCATCATCCACACCTATGGAGAGCAGTCTAACAGTTAATACAGTGGTTCTCATAAAAAGAAATGTGTGTATGTGTTTATTTTTTGGACATTTCTCTAAGCTTTGCTTTTTTATTACGAAATATTGGATAGTTTTCCCTCTTCACTCTTAAAAAAACTATTCAAATCGGAAAAAGGAACATCACCCATAAGTGGAATTACTCACAAAGCTAGATGCATTCTGTGACAAGGGTTTGTGGATAGATGATGTTTTGTTTTGAGACAAAAAGGCCGAGTTTAAGATAAACTCTGCAGTGCTTTCATACAGTAGTAATCCCTCTCAATCATCACTTATGACCCACTCTCAGTGTGTGGCAGTGTATTTTTCTGCAGAGACTCTGTCCTCTGCCTGTATTTTCTTAGCCCCACAGCGCTCAGGTGAGGTCGAGGCTTTATATAAAGGTGGCGACCAGGTGCCAGACTGTAAGCAGCAGGCATCCAAGAGACACAGTGCCAAAAGAAAGCAAATAAACCGAGGTAAAATATCATGCGAGAGTGAATCTGAGGTTGGCTTTTACTTTCACTTTAGCTGGCGAGCGTGTTTACAAACAATAACTGACAACCCTGCATATCATATTATTATCCTATTATCCTAAATTCCTATAATGACACCTTTGAATTCCCTCAGTTTGAACGTGTTAGATGCCGGAAAAATGTCTTAGTTCATATGCAGTAATATGCTTTATGTTTTTTACGCTCCAAAGTGTTTTTGAGAGAACAGTACGACACATTTACAAGTCCCACAATTTCTGATTACTGTTGAACAAATATTACAGACCATAGACAGAAACAGATGTATACATGATGCTGCTGTTTCATGCGGGGCCAGGAGTGATTTCACGGTGTTTCTGAGCCCAGAACAAGCCCCCGCTTGTCTGACATCAGTATCAAAACTTGACATTTTTTTCTAAGTGGAAAAAAAAACCTGAGTTGGCTCAGCTGAGTGTAAATCCTGAGGAAAGTGCCATAATTTGGGGCCTAAATGAAGCAACGCAGACAGTCTGAAACTCAACAGTTACACAGTGTGGAAGAACAGCCTCGCCATTATTCCTGCACGATAGTGTGCAAGTGATTCATGAATCATTTCGGAGGCGCCTTGCAGACGAGTCTGCGCTTTATGTTCACATTTTGTGACCTGCGGGACTATTGCTTTGCTGATAAATCTTCCACAAGTGCTTTTAATGTCCTAACAAAGCCATTTAAACCCCACCTGCAGGATTACTCATCTCAATAGCCATCGGATAACACAGAGGTTCATCACGTTTATGGCACACTGTTTGTCATGTGTTGTGGTGAGCTCAATAACTAATTCTCACAGGTAGCCCCAATACTGACTAATGTTGCATGCTGACCAGTCATCTATAAACAACCAACATCTGCAGAATCAGGGTGTCTAAAGGTATAATGCACAAATTTAATGCTTTTTGAGACTCTTTAAGGATAATTCTTACCCTGTTTTTTGGACAACTCATCTTTTTTTTTAAAATCCAAACATTGTAAGTATAAAGGTAGGTGTAGGCCGTGTATGTGTTCCTGTGCAGAGGTAGGTTTTATGCAGGAATATTGTCAATAGCGTCAGTTAATCTACATTTTTCAGCAGGTAAGTATACGTATAAAGTAAAAAGACAGCATTAGGTTCAGTGGTCGGTTTAAAACTTTGTAACATCATAAATGTGGACTTTCACACAGAAGAACTTGACTAATTTTGACAAAAATAAATTAAAAGAAGTGTAAATGACATTAGATAAAATGTCTGTGGCAATTAAGAGTTCACAAATTCAAATTTAAGAGAATTCAGTAACCTTTAAGACCTAATATTTGTAAAATTGAAAGACATTTTAAGGACCTGCAGACACCCTGAGAGACCTGCTGCAACCCTCAGGAGAGTCTTTCCTTTAATGTCTCCAAGTAGGACATGAAACAGCTTGTCTCAGTTAACCCACGCTTCTCCCGCCTGCATTTTGTGTGTGGAAATGATTAAAATATATAATAACAGTTTAAGATTAACTGTCGGGGGATATATCCGAGCCTATGAAAGCTGCTCTAGCCATCTACTCTGCAGACACATATATATGAGTACCTTCGCTGTGCTAACAAGATGTGCAGTCAAAACAAAAAGAACAAACCTGCAAAGAGAGCCTCCAGCTCCTCACTCTTGTTGGGAACAATGTTATTGGTGGATGGAACGAAGGTGCAGCAGGGACAGTGGACGCCCAGCTTCAGGCCAAGATTATTCTCTGATCAGAAGAAAGGGCACATCGAAATAAGCTGATGGAAATGAAGTTCACAAACACTATATATATATACGCTGTATATGAATCATGATGTGTAGGACATGTTGAGGCGAACCTGGATCTGACACCCAGTCCTTTATGGTTTCTGTAACCTCCACAGAGATCCAGGCTCCCTTTGCCTTAGGCTGCACCGTGCGGGAGTCAATATAACGTTGAGTGGAAGTGCTTTCTTCATCTGGCTTCAGCAGCTGACATAACACACAAAACCACACACACAAAACCGCACACACACACACACACACACACACACACACACACACACACACACACACACACAGAAAGACAGTGATAAAGCTGGCGTACAGATGGTCAGTAAATATTATAATTTCCACTGTGGTAAAGAGGGCAGTGAGTTCATTTTCCTTCATATTTACATAACACATGAATGGCACAGAGCCTAACACTGTGTCACTGTGTGTCATAGAAGCCAATAACAACCTGCAAATGTTTCATCAGACATGTAAAGTATGTTTATGCTCACTTTCCTGGGGCTAACATACTTCTGTGAGAGGGGTGAACTGTCTCCCTCCAGTCAAAATATAAATATAGATTAATTTGTGAAGATTTATTGTCATAACAGTCTTGTTGGCCTGATGCCAAAATTCCCAAAGGTGAAAAATCTACACAAAAAAAGCCATATTTAAATGGTACTGGTCACACCTTATGCATATGAACATTATTTTCAAGGAGAAGAAACAATTCCCTGCTACTTTTATACTTAAAGAGGACTTAAGTGATTTTAAAGTAATATTATCAAAGCATGTTATTTAAATAAATGTGATTATCCCGATTGAGGTAACACAATGGTTCACTGATGAAAGCACTTGCATTTGCAGTATGACAATGTCCGTGTCTGTGGCGACATTCCCGGAAAAAAATCACAAGCGGTGACAAGCACAAGTCATTAAAAATCCACTCTCACACACATCGAACAATACATACATGCATGCACACCGTCTGTGCTGTGGTAACCCTTTCATGTTGCCAGCTGCAGGGCTCATAAACGAGTCGATATAAATAAATCCACCAGCCTGTTTTTAAACCAGACCAGACGCTTAAGCTAACGCTGCGGATCCTAAGTTGCGTCTTGTCTGAACAGCCCTAAAGGTTAAAATGGGCACTGAGTGCTTCAGCCACCTGTCTAAACCTGGTGTTAAGTCTGCCATCAAACACACTATTGCTTATTGCCATAGGTGGCGCCAAAATGAACGTTCTTTGGCAAATGTAGTTTATTTCAATGTAAAACCTTAAAGAGACACATCGATCTGACTGTCTCTTACTGATAACTCTGGTCCAGGGCTCAACAGTAAGGTTTGCCACATCAGGCAAGTAAATCTACCAGCTCTTTGCCCGATCAGGCAAGTTAGACTTTTTTTTTTTTCAATTAAACATGTCAATTTCTCTGGAGCTGGTGATGGAAGTAGCTAAGGAGTGAGAAATCTCACTTCCTTCTCATCTCTGTTAAAAGTTCCACATGCACACTGATTGGGCACTCACGTGAAAATGGCAGCGGGTAAAGACAATGTTTATGAGTTGAACCGCAAGCAAAGATTTCAATTATCCTGGAAATGGGAGCTTAGTTGGGTGGATGTAGGTGAAACTATATTTTGCACATTTTGCCGCAAGATTGAGAGCAAGGTGGGTAACATGGGGTCTTATTGTGGCGTTTGCTTGTTTGTTTGTGCTGCTGTAGTCAAAGTGATGAACAGGTGAGCTCTGAGCCATCTTCAGTTGTTTACCTGATATATCTCCACTCTCTGCTCTGAGGCCCGGGCCTGCGGGTTGGGAGCTCTGAAGATCCTAAACTCAGCTTTGACCAGGGTGCTGTTGGTCAGGTCCACCCCACTAACGTCGAAGTGGACCACTCTGTAATGGGGGTTGGGGGCTGCTGGCTGTACCGCATCTGAGAGAGAGAAAGAAAAATAAAAAACATAAAAAAGATGACTAACGACCCAACAACATTTCATGGCTTCTGTGACAATGCTGTATTTATAGAACTGGTTAAAAAGCGCTGTGGGACTGATGCATTGTCTCGGACATAATTACTGCTGATGAGTGTCTCGAGAACTAAATTATAGGTTTGGGCGCAGTGAGTAGAAGCGTCTGGTCTTATGTTTAATATATGGGTAATTGTTGCGTTCATGGGTTTTACTGTATGAAACATCACCTCCCAACTCGACAGTTATGTAATTATGTACCATTTAGTATTCGGTACCATTTATCTAAAAATCTCTCAAATGAGGTCCATCAACACCAAGTTTTGTTTCTTTCTGGGAGAGCTGCGTGCTGCCAACCACAGCTGGCAGTTTGCCACCATAAAGCTTCTCTGAAGGCATCAGAGACCTGAGTGCCTTGCTGTTTAAGGAGGGGCCGGATAACTTGACCTTCTCCACCTCTTCCTCATTTTTCAAAACACCACTTATACTGTTTTATAGTGGGTGGAGATATGCAGCACCTGGTTTAAAGAGGCAATGACAAACACTTCTGGTGATCTGTGAAGATCTAAAATACCAGCGATTTAGTTTAGAGTGTCTTTTTGTGAAACTATACACCTCTACGTATCTTTACAAAGCAGACAGAGTTGAAAATACCTGGATCAGATACATTAAAGATGCATAAGCAATTAAATCATATGGCAAGGACCATTTTAAACCACCAGTCCTGTGTTTATCTTTTTTTATTAAGTCAAATTTGCTGCTAATACTTAAGTAAGATTTTGAATGCAGCACTTTTACATACTTAAGAAGGATCTGAACACTCCCTCCATCACTGATGCTTTTACAACAGTATGGGAGATGGTACTGATGGAGGTGAAGCCCACTCAGTCAGTGCACTGTATGGGAGAAAAGCGATAATGTAAAGGTGAAACTATAAAAGTTGACTACCGCTGCTACTCCTCTATTATTCATTATGTATTGTATATGCTACTTGTACATCTCCAGACCTATAAAACTCCTTCAAAAGCAATATGGAGCTCCATAATGTTTGTTTTACACGGTCACGAGCAACAGTTGGTTCCCATTATGTTATGTAATTTTCGATTATTACTAAAGGTTTCCTGATGGACCTCCTTTAGTGAGACCCTGGACCACACACTGAGATCATCATACATGGACTCACTTGTGTCGGTGCGTGGGGGCAGCATGTCAATCCTCTGCACCTCTTTGGCATAATAGTCCTCCTCGCTGCTCTCGCGCTCGCACGCCGACTCGGCCAGACGCGCGCGCTCCTTCAGCAGCTCCCGCGTGCTGTTGTAGAGCAGCATGACCTCCGGGGGCACCGTGCCAGGCGGTGGGGCCTCGTCCTTGTCCGGCGGGCTGCGGATGCGAAGCTTGCTGAGGATCTGTCCGCGGACTGCCTCGATGCGCCGGGACTTCTGCGCGTCAAGGTTGATGGAGTGGCACGTGTTGAACCCCTCCACCAGCAACACACCGGAGAACCGGAGCAGCAGCAGCGCGAGGCGGGGGAGCCACATTGTCCGGTGAGGAGACGGAGGGACAGAGATAGCCTACTCTCTGAACGGCGGTGAAGGAAATCCAGCTGAAACTGTGAGGGTCACTGTGGGAGAGTGTCACTAACGTCTCAAAACCCCAGAATAAAAAATCTGTGCGTAGGGTTAAACCACTACATCCAACACTACGGGAATATAATAAAGAAAAAAAAATCCAATATTTAGTTCTAACAGGCTATTTTGGTCAGACCACTTTCTGTGGAAAAGGAAAACCACATCTGCTGACTTAACATGTATTCTGCTAAGATAATTTTAAAACATTGTTCAAACGTGCGCCTGCATATTTTAACACTGGACGCATAAAGACGCATTGTCATTTACTGTTTAGAGACTAGATTTAAGTTAAAAGCAACAGTTTAAAAGATCCGTACAGGAACAACTGCATCTACACGCAAAAATGATATCACACCACAACCAAACTCCACTATAAAAACCTCACATTTAGTGATTGGAAATTTGGCTGACGCTTGAATTCCAATGTGGTGCGCTCAAAAGCTCCAGTGTTGTCCCGTGCCGGTGCGTGCGCGCTTTCCGCGTTTAAAGGTATTTAATTACAGTCTAACCGATAAGTTGTAGTTTTATCCGTCTCCGTTTTCCGTCGTCCATCCTCGGGATAATGCAACAGCTGTCAAGAGAAAAGAGTCATCATAGCTCAGCCCATGTCGCAGATCCTCCAAACAAAAACCTGAGCGGCTCACTTCATCTGGAGCAGCACGGTGCCCGTGCTTTCACCTCCGAAACACCCATCTGTGGAACAAAAACCTGGCCCATGCCCGCTTCCAAAAAATCTAGTTACAGCTTTTAAAAAAACCCAATGAGGTCCTCCCATTCCCCGTTATAGGTAAACAGAAAGCAGCCTGCACTAAATCGTAGGAAGAAACTGTTGATTTATGTTGGAAAAACCATGGTGGGCCTGTTAACCCCCTCATATAAACATCAAAACACGGAAAAAGTCAAACGACGTAAAAAGCCGTGACGCAGAAAAATATATGAAAGAAGTCCTTGTGCTGTGAATTTAAAAAAAAAAAGAGGAAACTTTACAGTAAATTACAGATGCCCGGGCTAAATGAGCTCCAGTCTGAAAGCTCTGCTGAAAACACTGAGACCTGCTGTATGATGTGCCTCCATTATTCTGCAGATCCTCTGGGAGAAATGCTCAGACAGGAGGAAGGAAGGAGGGACTGGATGTGAGAGAGGTGGTGGTGGGGCGGGTTGCCACCAAAGTGAAGGGAGTGTGTGATTATGTAGGCATGAGCCATCTTCCTCTCTCTCCCTCTCTCTCTCACACACACTTACATTTTGCAATTTCTTCTCTCCACAAAAATGCTTGCACCACCCCTCTCTCCGCAGGTAAACATCCCCCGAGGGCATGTCAGACTTAAAGTAATATTTCAACATTTTAGGAAATACGGTATTCACTTCGTTTCAGAGAGTTAAATGAGAATGACAAGGTATATCTGTGCAGTAACGTTAAATATAAAGCTAGCTTAGAGCTAACTGTTAGCTTGGCATAAACAGAGAACACGGAGAAACAGCTAGCATAGCATTGAAGCCTACAAAAAATGAAATATTAAAATACATAATTCTTAAGCTGACTTATTGGCATTTTATTACTGGTTTGTTAAATTAACTACAAAATAAGGTGTAAACATAACATTTTACTGGGAGTTACGACCCTGACGTCTTCACTATGACCTGTTGCTAGGAGACCAGTTAAGACTCCCGGAAGTTACTAGTCCCAACCATGAAATACATTAGCTATTACATATTTGCCCATAAAACATTAAATTTCTGTTTTTACATCTCGATTTCTGTAAAATTCAACAAATGAGATATCACATGTTAATTAGTGAGCTTTAGAGTTACTGGATTAAGTTACCTCTGGATGAAGCTAGGCTATATTTTTGCAGTCTTTTTTGCTAAGCTACGCTAACACACAGTCAGTAGTAACAGGTAGCTTCATGTTAAACGCACAGACGCCAAGAAGAACATCTTACTTAAATGTCCAGTGTGAAAGATTTAGGGTGATTTAGTGGCATCTAGGGGTGAAGATTGCAGTTTGCAACCAGCTGAAACTTCTCCCATGTGCCAAGCATGAACTCCCAGTAAGGTTTTCTTCAGTGTTAGTTAAGGAAGTTTTTACCAGGAGCTGAATTATCCACAGAACAGACCTGGGGTCTCATTTAAAAAACAGTGCATAGGATCCATACCAAAAGCCAGATTGGTGTATGCAAAAAAGAATTTGATAATTTCAACAATCAGGCTTCCACCTCACCATCTAGCATCACTAATTTTCCGTCTCCACAATGTTCATTAGCAAGTTTCTCCCATCAAGTCTGTTTTTATACATCACAACTTTTGCATGTGAATTGGGATACACTTCTTTCAGGCCTCATTTTGTGCGTATGCAATGTTTATAAATGAGACCCCAGGTGATTGCAGACAGCCTGCTTGCCCAGCACCTGCAAATGTATGCTCACCTATTTTCACTCTCAACTTCATATGTGCTCACTTTATTTTGATCCAGACGTTCAGGTGTTTTTTTTACCGTGAGCTTAATTTTCAGCAGAGGTCTTCTCTCCAAAACAATCTAACCTGGTGATCTAAACAGGAGAAAACGCCGAATAAAGCAGTTTCACATTACAAATCATTGTTTCTCCAATGCTGTTCTGCATGTCAAAGATGGGGCACTAGCCTAGCATCTGCTAGTCTGTGCTCTCCTTTTTTCTCTAATATCTCAAGATCCAGACGTTCAGGTTTTACTGGGAGATCCAAAAAACCCGGTGATTAAAACCAGTAAAAATCCTGACTGAAGCCGTTTAAAAGTCAGTATTTTTCCGATGTTCTCGTCGCTGAAGGGCCGTTAACTATGGTGGCCAACGCGCGAATGGCTCCATCTAGAGCCAGTGTTTGGTTTGTCTGTTCTGGGCTATTGTAGAAACATGGTAGAGCAACATGGTGATTGCCGTAGATGAGCATGGGGGAATGAGTCGGCATTTTTGCACCCCCAGTTCCCTCGTCCCGATGTCAGTGGGTTTCTTTTCAATAGGTTTTTGGTTTTATGCCTGAAATAAGGTCTGTGGTTTTCACAAGCTGAAGGGACTTTCATGCTTTGTTGTGTGACATTAAATGCCTCAGTAAAAACCCCAATTGTGAAATTTTAAAACTTTTATGTGTCTTGAAAAGAGGCTGCTAACAAGTGGTTAGATGAGAATACAGACTGTCATCATGCTGCTGTGGGGCAACACTAACAATGTGACCTTGTTGTATTTCGTTTATAACCTAACGTTAGCTTTTTATTTCTGGCGATTGCATTTAGACTTCAAAAAGCATAAAAGTGGTGTTCATTCGTGAAGATTATGTTGCTGGACAAAATGTTCAACAATCATTAACATTTGTTTGCCACAGAGCTTGTTTTCTGCAGTGATCCAAAATCCAATGGAAAAATCCCATGGGCTTTTTGACGACAGAACTAGGGAGACGCCAACTTCAGCGTTGGTCTACAGAAAAACATCATCCCTGGAGGTCTCTATGTAGATATAAACACTTCATTCAAAGGTAACGAAACACAATGGTTCTTATTTTAAGGTGATTACACACTAAAGAAAACATACTTTACTATATTGTATACCATTTCTGCCAATATATCTCCCTAAATGCTGCACACTGGATCTTTAAATCTAGATATAGAAAATAAATCTAGATAAATAGAAGATGGAGAAATAAGATGTATTACCCAATACAGTGATTACAAAATGCAGAATTAAAAGGATCTCTGTGTGATTTTAAGCTTAGGATCACTCATGCCGAGCTAAATGCTTATCCTAATTTATTAAATCACTTCACAGCCCATCCCTCTTTATCTTTATCTTTTCTAGCTTTCAATCTAGGCCCTTTCTTTCCTCTCTGTTCTTCTTTCAGTCTCATTGTTAATTACAGCTCAGAACTCGGAGAGGACTGTTAATCTGTCAGGGGTGGTTTTTATTGCTGCTCTGCTGCCATCCCATTATACCATTATTATAGTTGCGGGTGCAGGCCTGTAATTGCTGTAAGTAGAAGGGAAAGGTAGGAGAGACTCAGGCTGCCTCGAGGCTTCTGGTCAGGGCAACCCCCCCTTCATCGTCTGTCCTGGCAAGGTTTCTAAAAATGATAACACCGCCCGCGAACAAACAGGCTCCTGTTCCAACTTGACTGCTGCTGCTGCCGCACCATCACCAGAAATGATCGGAAAGAGTGGATTTGTCTGTGTGGACTTCAACTCTTTCTGTGTGGACTTCAACTCTTTCTGTCAGGAGTGTTGTAAAGATCAGACACACCGCTGGGCATCTCAGATCACAGGAGCCCACCCAGGTGGGGTGTCGTGTGTTTGTGCTGTAATGTGTGGCATACAAGGAAAAAAAAAAAAAGAAAGACTTCCTCAAAAACAACTTCGAGCCTGGCTGCTTTTTTTCTGCCTCTTTTCCTCAAAGCCAAATATAGACAAGCCACTGCCACGTCATCTGGCCCTCAGCACTTTCTAAAACCCTGAGAGAGGGCGAGATGGGGTTCAGAGCCTGTCACTCACTCACAGAGCCTCAGGGGATGTATTTTTTAGCATGTCTGTAATATAAGTGAATCCATATTTTCCACAAAAACCTAAAACAAATCGGGCTGTCGTGGAAATCAAGACAGTTTTATTGGAAAAAAAAAAGAAATAACCCAAAACAGTTAGAAAAATAAATACAGATAAAACCACTGGGGGTTACTCTCAGGGAACATTTCCACGTCTTCAAATCGCTTCCTCCTTTGGCAGCTCGGTCTCTTATATGTCATAACAACAATCAACCAAACAGTGTGGCCTATTTTCTCATGGCACCAACATAAGTCCAGCTTTTCTCTTCTCTCTTTCTGAATACCCACAATCCCATCTGAGTGACGGTTTGAGGATGTGTGTGAAAACTGTTGACATCTTGGAGCTGCTGTCTACACCTCGTCCTCGTTCAGCAGCATGTTGGGGATTCCTCTGGAGATGGGGAATTCTCGTCCTGATTCAGGGCACTGCAGACAGCCCTCTATCACCTCCACCTACAACACACACACACACACACACACACACACACAACACAACACAAGACAAGACAAGACAAGACAAGACAAGACAAGACAAGAGGTGTGAGACCACCACTAGATGTCACCATAGAGTAAAATAAACCACATGGCCGAAAGTATATGGACAGCCCTGTCACTATACTTTTGGTTTGGCCCAGGTCACCTAGTCTGGTAAGACTATCCTCATGACGTGAGCTAAACATTCTGTCTCGCTCTCTACATCAGTCTGGCCCCGCTGCTGCCCCAAACAGTTACAGTGGGTGGGAGTGCTTACCTTGACAGAAAAGCTCCTTCATCCAATCAACAAAACAAAACACTCGGGAACATCTTCTTCATCACAAATGGAGCCAGTTGATAAATCAAGTTTTTGCCAAGTTGTATTTTCTGTACTAGGGATTTGGAGCTGCCATTACTGTTCTGCAAGCTCATTTTATGTAATCAACTACAACACAGTCCCTGATTTGCTGCTTACACTTGGTCAACTGCGGTGCAGATTCCTGGTTGGCCCCAATTGGAATTTAATTTCTGGAAAGTGTTTGGGGCAGCAGTGGGACCAGACTGATACAGAGAGTGAAACATAATGTTGCGCTCACGTCATCAGGATGGTCTTACCAGGATGTAGGCCACTTAGTTCTGATTTAGGGAAATCATAATGCTACGGTACACACTGTGTACTTGATATATGTCTTGATATATTTTTAATAGTCCCTCACCAACAAACTGTAAAAATAATGGACGTTGGACGAAAGGTGGTATATACAACATTCATTCACTCTGGACTGGGATTGCCTCCACACAGCTCTCACCTCTGACTTGACAAGTAAACATGGAGGTGACATTCGAAATGGCAGCTAGCAGTTGTTTATGCTAACCGGGCTAACAACAGTGCTGACAGAGCTAACATTTTAAACCTGGTGGGAAAGCGGAGGTTGGGCGTTACGCTTCCTCAATGACACTGTCCCACCACCTTGAGTCTGGACCAAGCAGCAACCTCCTGGGCTGAAAAATCAAGCCAGCACAACAGTGCTAAAGACTGTAGTTCCTAAAATGGCCACTTGAGGCTGGCTCAAAGACGAAGTCCCGT